AAGGCACTAATTCCCTGTATCATAAGTTAGTTTGAGCCTGCCTGCTAAACAAGAACAGATGCTCAGAGAATCAGATATGACTGAGCCTAAGTGTTTTCCGATATAATTTCCAGCTCCCATAGACACTAAACATGAGATAAATCAACTTAAATCCAACTGACCTGGCATCACTTGCAAGGCATTATCCCACTGTGAAACAGCTGATTGATTCCTCTTCTCCATTTCAAAATGGTAGTGTGAGCTACTGCAACATGCAATGAATGCCACAAAGATGCTCAGCACAAAAATGACTCTCTGTCCATGAAAAATAGCTGAATTTAGACAAGAAATTTTTCACAAGGTTTCCAGCCTCCTGTAGACTACAGGATAGCTTTCACACCCTATGCTACATAAACCCCTTGCAATAATGTGCATAGTAAATGTATTTCCAAGGTAATTGACTGTTGACTGCAAACTTGGTGATAAAACCATACATTTTAGACCTCTCCCCTCTCCAAGTATGGTGCACTATGCAAAAGTAGGATCTAAATGTTCTACAGAAATAGGTTCTTTTGTAAAGACCTCAGGAGTTCTTCCACACACTTTTGACAGATAATAAAACAAAGGCACTGGAAAATAAATTATATGTTCACTCAGTCAGGAACAGTGGCTTGGATGCCTGGCCTTAATCCACCTATTGAAAATTAATATAAATAAGAAAGGTCAAATTCCTAAACAAAACAAAAGTTAAGGAAGACTGTGTTTCTGTCAAGGAAGACTTAAGAGAAACCCATCCTTGTTTCCAAGACACAAAGGAACAAAATCCAGTTTTGCTTGCATAGCCAAGTACTTTCTTTTTTTGCATTTCCTTTTCAAATCCAAACATATTGGAGTAGAAATGAGCAGCTGAATAAACTGATATATTTCTCTGTGAAATCCTGTATTTCTATAGTCTTTTTCTCCCTAACATTTTTTTTTCCTACAGCACATTTCTGGGTCTTGGTGTGAAATCAAATGGATACATGAATAATAACAACAGATTTCATGTTCTTTTGAATGGCAGGGAGTTTTAACTTAGGCTGGGCAGAAATTGGTGAATGATGATGGGATACAGGAAAAGGAACATGACATTTCTGAAGCAGGATGAGCTTTTAAAGCCCTTGTAAATGTGGCTATAAAAGTAACCATACTCCTACCTCTCTTCATGCATGTACAAAGATTCTCTATCAATCATTCTGTGTCCCCCTGATCCTCTTTGTCCTCAATACTCTGTTCTTTAGGGCATGGCAAAGAAGAAGGCTGAGATTTTGTGTAATTTAAGTACCTACAACTAGCAATACACAAGTTGGAGAGTTAAAAACAAACAAAAGAGAAAATCTTACACCAGATTTGGACCTCACAAGAAGGTGTTTTATAATACTGTAATTTTTTTTAATTTTATTTTTTTATCTCAATAGCTCATCAGCTTGAATAACAATCTTGCAAAATGCATTGTTTATCAAAGCAGATGCTACTTTCACAATATATTTTGTTTGTAAATCTTTCCTTTGGTTTTTGTTTGAAGTATGAGGGTTTTGTTTATGTTTTAGTTGTGGCTAACACTAAAAGGGGTCTTCGGGCTTTTTTTTGGGCTTAGCTGACCACCATGAATAAATCTGCTTTAAAGTAGAGTTCTAAATGTATGCCATGCCTTTATATAGCAGTAATGCATCCACTGAAGAAAAAAATAAACTTTTATTAGGCCTGTTTGCATTATGAAAAGATCTTTGATATAGTAACCCTTCAGGATACTTACAACAATAAATAAAAACTGACCTGACTGGTCATCATAAGATGCTTGAAATCTGGTTAACATTCACTGCTATTTTCTTGTTCCAAATTTTATATCCAGCTGCCATTTGTAACCTAACAAACCCTTTTGTGAGTTGTTCCAGCCCTCCTGCCTTTCAGCAGAGCACATCCTAAAAGTGCCACATGGAACCAGTGCAATTCCAGTGAAGGGTGCCTGTGGGTGACTGTCACTGCACTGTAAACTGGACAGGCTGAGACTCCTCCTGTCCTGCAGCACCTCAGGGTAAACTCTGCCATTTCTGCACACGTTGCTAAGCAGGATGAAAGTTTTAATTTTTCTTTTTTTCCCCTAATGGAATAAAGCTTGTCTGTTCGTCCCTCAACACTGAATCACTTTTGGAAGTGTAATTAATCAGGAGCAAGAAATAAGGAGAAAATCAGGTTTTAGTAGTTTAACTGTTCATTAATTCATGTGAGTGAATTTATGGGCATCTTGTCCTCTATGATATTTAATGAGTTCAACAAATTCACTGCAGCAAACATCTGGTGAGACACAATGTTATAAAAACATTACATCCCTGATTTACACAAAAAGGGTGAAAACTGAAGGCAGGCATTTTATACTATTATTGATTTTCCACAAATACACATAGGTATGTGCATTATACACGATAAAAACAAAACTGTTCAAACACTTTCCAAAACTGAAACTCAATCAGCAGATATGTCACTTATTGGCCTCAACAGAACAGCAGGGAAAATGCTGCCCTGTTCTCCTTCTCATGACTCTGGCCTATTTCTCTAAATTACAGGGCCAAACCTCTGCAATAAAGAAGCATCACTATTAATCCCTTGTGCCAGCTGTCTTGTCTTTGCTCACACAGGGGCTCAGTGCCCCATGCTATGTAATTCAAATAAAACACATTATATGAAAGAACAAGAGGGAATAATTTCAGCAGATTACTCTGAGTTGCAACTGATCCTACCTTGGTCCTACCCAAAAAATGTGCTTGATTTCAGTTTCCTCTCACAATCTCTCAGGATCTCTGTTTAACAGCAACATTTTATCTGCAGGTAGCATGCCTTCATAATTTACAGCTGAAGATACTAACTTTGAAAAAAAGAAGGTTCAAGAATATTGTTATGCTCTGACCATGTAAATTTGTGTATTAAGAAACAAAAAAAATTTCTAAACTTAACGGAACAGGTTTGGCAGACTAGGTATGTGAAACAGATACAGATTTTGTGAATGACAGGATTTCAGTATCCAGTACAGGATATTGAAAATGTTCCTGTGGTGAAGTGTGCTTTTTATCCTCAGTTCTAAGACATAAAGAATTTGTACAGCTTCTGCACACTTTAAGATATTCTGAGCCATGTATGGTAAGAATTTCAGTGTTTTCACATCTAAGCTATGTAAATACTGACCTCCTTGGAAATGTAAGCCCTGTACATCTAGCCAACAGAGACTATGGTCTCATTTTTTTTTCTATTAAGCACATAGAAACTACAAAAATGTACAAGAAATTACTTCTGGGGAGGCATGGAGCCTGCATGCTTCAGCCTTAATCCTCCTGTCTTTAGCCATAGACTCCCAGCTCCACCACTTCAGTGACTTCTTGCTGTTGGTTTGTTGCTGGGAATGTTAGAGAACCCTGGTACTGAGCAAGGCTTCACTAGACACAAAGCCAAAAGGGAAAAAAAGGTTCTTTCTTCTACTAATCTAGTCAGAACATGGAAGTCTTAATAAGCTCAGCGTGGGTCTGTCTTACATTTTGAGTTGCCATCAACTTTTCCACAACACAGATTCATGAGCAGTTCTGTCTCTTCTCTAACCTCTCCTAGACAGGTATGAACAGACCTCAACGTCATCATGACAATGCTGTTCCCATCAAAATTAATCCTGGTACAGGCTCTGCACTGGTGTTCCCAAGCTGACCTGAGAGGGATTCCTGGCAGAACAGCTGGAACAGCATCAGCACCTCCTCTCCAGCAACAACCAAGCATTGTTTAATGGCAGGTCATCTTAACATGACATACTGGGGACCCAGGAATGGAAATAGAGTCATAGAATCATAAAGGTTGGAAAAGAGCTTTAAGTTCAAACATTAAAATCCTCATTTATTCCAATTTCCTGTGCATTCACTTAACATGCAGCCAACAGTTGTACCTCCAGTAGGATCAGTTCCTAGGAAACTGAGTTTACCCAGTCACATCCTATCATGAATTTAATTGACTATGTTTATCAAACTAAAAGGACCACAAAAAACCCCAAACAAGTTAAATTAAGTAAATCACTCACTGAGGCGGAAAAAAAAATTAGGCTACATAAGATACAAGAATGCTTTGTGATTTTCTGCAGCTGTTCTCAGCCTTGCTTAGCAAATTAATTTAACACAGAATGTCATTCAGAACTATATTTAGTCCTTCTTAGTGTTTTAGCATATTATAACAATTAATCATCTTTTATTAATTCATGGGCATTCAAAGATGACCTAAGAACAGTCACATTGTATTGGGTACTGCTAACTCATCTTTTATATTAACTTTTACATTATTGTTCTACTTAGTACTATACATCCATACTACACAAAAAATTTTACAAGTGTATTGAGACCTTGATTTTGGAAAAAAAAAATAAAATACAGGCCTAAAGAGAATATGAGCATGTGCAATATTCTCTAGACCACAGAGGTAAATATGTGCATAAGGCTTTGCATAGGATCCACAGCTGCACAGTCATTCTTACAGAAGAGAAATAACATTAGAATTAGATTTTGTGGTGAAACTTCACTGTAATATATGCAGCTAAATAGATCAGGTCTGCCTCCTCATTCTGTCCAGGCTTAGAGCTGTCATCTATACCTACATGTTTTCATTCAATATTTTTTCCAGGATTAATTGACAGGGCAAATCAAAACCTGCTCTGTCCTAACACATACAGGCATTTTTCATAAATGAATCTACAGCTACAAGCTCTCCCTCAGAGGAGGCAGACTAAAAACAATGTCTAAAACCAACAATCAGAATGCCTTTAGAAAGTGTTTCTTTTCCAGCACTAGTTTTCTTCCTATTACTTTGCATGCCATTTTTACAGTATGCCCATCACAGCCTAATGCAAACACTTCACAAACACATAACATGTCCTAGTAGTCTCCTTATTTTACAGGTTATTTTCCTTTTTATTAAGCTTGTTTTCATCAGTAATCAGGTGGCCTTAGATGCCTTACCAGGGATAGGATAGTCTGACAGCGAAGTTTTACATTTTGTCCAGGTGACACACTTGCAATTGTTCTCAGGTCTTCCTGGGGAGAGCTGCAAATCTGGGGAGCACTGCTCAACACACGCGGTCTGTCCAAGTTCCACCTCCGTCCCAGTGGAAGACAGCTGTCAAAGGAGTTAAACACAGGCAGGGTTAGGGAAGCCTCAGCAGGTCTCCGTTGGGTCAGTTAGCTCATTTTGGGATTGTTTGCTCCATTTTACCATGCTCCAGGTCAAAACAGCACAGATACCAAGTAGTCCATTTTCTCTCATCAGAGTAGCTGGGGTTTTTTAAACCCTCTGCAGTTTTTCCAAGGTCAGTCCTTTCATGCACTGCCAAAGTCTGTTGGATTAAAAAAGCCTGGAGATCACTGTGATGCCTTGTGATAGGCAGACACCTGTCAGTGGCAGAGAACATTTCTGTTGCTATGGACCTTTAGGTATAGAGAGCTCTTCAAAAGGCAAATAAACAAGAAATACATTATTCCTTAAATGTGCCATTAGACAATTTTAAGGAATCTACATCCTGCATCTTCTTTCTGCAGGCTTATGTGAAAGCTTTTGTGAAAAGGACTACTCCTGATCTGGAGAAATAAAGAAACTTTCTGAGGAGAGGTAAATTAAAACCACCAAAACATCAGTGTTGAAGTAATCAGGAGTAGAAATTTAGGGAGGAAATCAATAAAATCTAATCAGCTGCATATCTGTGAGGGGGGGCTACATTAGAAAGATGTATTTCTGTCCACTCTTTAGGAATAATACTGACACTTCAATTTCTACCTAACTCATGAAGTTACAAGAGCTGTTTACCAACCTACCTGCCAATTATACATTTCCATCTTTCTCTTTTGCCTTGCTGTCCTGAACAACTGTAGCAGGTCTCATAATCTATAGAGCTGGGGTGGGAGGACAAGGGCAATCAATAGCCTCGCAGCTTCTCCCATTTACTCTTTCTGCAGGATCCTTAAATGTCACTTGCATGGACGACTTGGCAAAATACACCCTTCAGACCATCACAGGGCACATTTACCTCTAGGTGTCCTTAGGTTCCTACAAAGGCTTGTACTATGTGCCACATCTGATTTAGGATATAAACTTCAAAAGGAGCAAACAGTTGTTTGAGGCCTTTAGGACACCCTTACATGATAGTGAAAAACAGGATTTGTACAATCAAGAGCCTCTGCATCTTCAAAAAACAGTATCAATGATCATACTCTGCTTTCTACACAGTCATGCACAAATAAGCTCGTGCCACAAACCACCAGGCAAAGTCAAGAGTAGAAAAGAAGATCAATAACTTTTCCTTTCCTTTTTTTATCCTCCTTACAAGTGATTTTAGATTCTAATATTCCTGATAACAGAGCTATACAAAACACTGCTGAGGAAGACACCAGTAAATTATCCAATCTATATTCCTGCCTGACAGCAGGATCGACTGTAATTATTTCTGACAGATATTTTCATAACTTGTTCTTCAAAATGCAACATGTCCTTGCAATTTACATTACAGTCAGTGGAGAATTCCTGTTTACAAAGAATAAAACCCATAGCTTCAGAAGAACAGTGCTCCACAGTGAGCAAGGCTCACAAAGATCTGCACGAATTCACAGTAAATTTATACACCAATTTAATTGCTGGTAGAAAGGTTAATCAGAGTTTATGACCACTCCCATGATGTTTTCCTCCAGAAAGTCTGAGAGCTTTATCTGTTAATGAAGAGCCTGTGTGTTTAGTATCCTCTTGTGTCAGTTGCTCTACACATGCCAAATATCATCTTAAACAGCCACTGCATTTGAATTACCATAATCTGATGAAATAGGTCTAATCAACCTGATCAGAAGAGCTCAATGAACTTTTATAATTTGCCTCTGTTTCTTTTACAGTGTTTCTTTTTATTTTTCTATTATAATTGTAGCTCTGTATAATCCAATTAAAATGGTGGTTGACTTTAAACAGAAGTTCCTACATCAAAGATACACCAAAAGACAAATAAAGTCATATTTGTGGGTTACTATTCCCACATTATTGCAGAACAGCCTAGTCTGTAGATTGCAAAATGGCCCATTCTTCTATGAGACACACATCCATCTGTCACATAGTAGAACAGACTTTCCCCCAAATTAACAGCCATGTACGACCAATAAAACAATTCTACTGGGTTGCAGAAAGGGCATAAGCTCTGGACTAATCTTAACATTTCAATGAAGTTTAGAAATTAAGCCTATCTCATTCAGTAAAATTGTCTTCAGACATAAAGAACCGCTCAGCATTTGCTGTCAAACTGATGTCTGAGAGTGAAACTCTGAGCACAAAGTGCAATGTTTGGGATTTTGGGGGCTTGGGTTTTTTTGGTACACAGAGTTTACCTGCAATCCTTGAATGGTTAGAGAAGATAATCAGATCTTTTTCTAGTCTGGCCAGCATGTGCTGTTCAATAGTTAATCATTCCTGAATAACATTCAATGATGACATAAAAACTAAGTCTCTATCCTATTGTTAAGCAGGATGCAGTTTATCGGTCTATATGTTGAAAGAGATGTACAAATGAAATTCACAGCAGCAGCAATAATGAATGGGATGTTTAAAAAGCAAGATGGATGCCTCCAACTCTCAACCAGAAAGGCACATTATACCAGTCACAGAAAGATGTTTCCATTTCCAAGACCTTTTAGTGCATTCATGCCTAGAACCAGCTGCATTTCAATGAAGATAAAAATAAAATTACTTGTACACTACACCAGCTCCACAGCAGAAGCACTTCCATTCCTGGGAATGGAAGAGACAACTCCTGAAGCAGAACTTCTCCAAGACATACAGAGTCAGCAGGGCACAAAGCAGCTGTTGCTGCTGACAGGATAGAAACTGAATGTGCAGGAATTCTGCACTGAGTTGGAAGAGGAGAAGGGAAAAAGGAGAAAAGGTATGTGACCTATGCAACTCCACAAAATGTATCACAAGTCTTCCTTAGATAAATTTCAAGGCTCTAATGGGAAGGCCAACACTACCAGCAAAGAGGCAGAGTTCTGTTGCAATAATAAATAAGCCTCAGCAAAAGAAATGTTTTAATTATTTGCTTAAATCCATAGCACAGTGTAGCCCTCCCAACTTCAGGTGTGTACTGTCCTCCAAAGGATGTGATCCACTGCCCAGCAGGGCCAGCCTTTGCTCACTTCTATGTCTACTACAGCTATTGTGACAAGTCTTTGGTATCACAAAGTCCAATGGCATTTGTTGCTTTTCTCAAAGCTTCAGATTAAGAATTTTATCTTTCATTTAAAAGATGCTTCTCTTCCTCAGAGTTGCAGAAAGGCAACAAAGAACATATTCAATAGCCTCAGTAGGTCAAAAAAGAAAGATCATACAAACATTTTTCACTTAGAAACAAAATGACTCAGTAATCTCTTGTGACTTCAACTCATGATTTCTGAGTACATGAAAAATGAAAGGTGGACCTAGTCATGAGCTTATTTAACCAACGTGTAGCCATAAATTCAAATAGTTTCTTGTCTTGAAAAGATGCCTTCCTTTAACACCAGTCTTTAAAGGAAACTCTAGCAGCTCCTGCAGTGGGAGGAAAAGCAGGTTCATTGGTGGCTGGTGTCAGTCACTGCTACTGAAGGCTGAATCACCATGCAAGAGTTAAGAGTCCCAGCAAAGGTATGCCAGCAGGGTGGACAATTAATCTGCTGAGAGAAATTTTCACTGACATAAAATTCTGCAGCATTAACTAAGGGTCAGCTTGGTGTAATGCAGAGCCGAAACACAGACAATATCTCATCTACACTGTGACCATGAGCACTGCGCAGCAAACATTTTAAAAAAATCTAGTCAGTGTATAAATCTACTGCAACCCTTATGAATACATATAAGACAAGTACGTGTGTTGGAGGTTTTGTGCTACTGAAATCTTCTTGGCTTAATTTGAGAAAAAATTGCACATGTGAAGGAGCAACTGCAGGGCACTGGCTGACAGGACAGGATTTTATTCACCAGAAATTGCCTCAGTGTATCAGAGACACTCTGTAACAAGACATTTCAACATATTCCTTTTTATGCAAACATGACCACATGACACAGAATGCAGAAAAAGTGCAAAGAAAAGACTTGCATAAAAAGTGTAAACCATTTTCAATAGTAAAAATTGACATCCAGTTTCTCTAGACAACTTTTCAGTTGATGCTGCAACAACTGACTAGAATACAACTTGTACACTGTCCATCTAATTGCCCTCCCAAAGGCTGGCCCAAGTCAAGTATCCAAGTAGCTACTGATGTGAAACTTGATGATCAGAATGACTGCTAAACATTTAAGCATGAACCATAGTTGAATAGTTTGGGTTGGAGGGAATCTCCAAAAATTATCTAGTCCATTCCCCCTGCTGTGGGGCAGGACATCTTTCATTAGGTCAGGTTGCTGAAATTCCCATCCAAGAGCATCTTACGTGCACTTCACTTGAGCCACAGTTCAACATGAAGACAGGCTGCCTTTCAATGATGGTTTCAATGATGTGTTGAATTTGTCTTTATACTGTCCTTTTCTACTGAGATTACACAGGAGCTTTGGTATTATCCAACCCCTCTGAGTGCAAAATCCCAGTGCCTAAAGGAACAGAAGTTATGTTTTCAACTGGAGTAGCAAGACAGACAAAATAATCCCCTACTAGCCAACATATTTCTCATCAGCCAGGGCAACAAAGCAGTGCTTTTCAACCACACAGATTGAACTATGAATATATGCAAAAAATTACACCACTGAGGGAAATAAGCTCATTATTGTTTCATTGTTTAATTATGATTTCTTTTCCTCATTGCACTACAGGTACGAATTCCTGCTGCCACACTTGCACCTATTTCCTCTCATGTACAATAACATAAACCCTCAGCACGAAGTTGTTTCTAACGAATCCAAATCAATCAGTGCTCACTGAGGAAACACTGAATGGCACTTACTTAAGATAAAGACTGGAACAGTTTTAACATCTGATATCTGGGGCAGAAGGGCAAAAGGGAGAGAGACAAAAAGAGAGAGAGAGAGATGGACTCTTTTTGCTTGCTTTCTATGGCATTGGCTAAACCAGCCTATTTTGAAACACACTGCTGTGAAGCAGTTAGGTACTTCTATCACTA